CTCACTGCAGCTGCTGGCCGCTCACGCTGGCTGCTGGCTACACACGGTAGCCCATGGCAACCCACTGCAGCAGGGGCTGCAGCCTACGCCTTTGCCGGCGACTCACGGCAGCCCAGCTCCAGGTTGAGCTGTTCAGCATCTTAGCTGTAGAGGGCAGTGTCACTGGCCAAGTAGGACCCGTTTTCATCAGTCTTTAGGAGTTAAAGATCCAAGGACCTGGAGATCCTTAAATCTGGGATCTCTTTGCCAAACCTTGTTCTCTATCCAGTTGTGGACTAGAGATGCCATGTGTTTGTATTGTGCCTTCAACTCTCTAGATTGCTGAGAAAGACTAAGAAGGGACCCAGAGGAATAGCAAGACGTTCTGAGCTCTAGGCTTTAAGGAAGTCGATATGTTTCTTTTGTTTTTTTTATTCATTGTTCATCTGAGCTCACCAGCCAGGAAGGGAGGACAGGGTTCAGGACAGAAGTTCTGCACAGGAGTAAAGACTGCCATCTGAGTGAGAGCGTGGCACATGTGGCATAAATGGTGCAAGAAGTACAGAAAGAGAAGGGGCTCCCAGCAGGCCTTCAGATTTTTATGTGACCAGAACTTACTAGAATCCTTGTAAGATTAAAGGAGCAAGAAGTTTTATATTTTATTGAAATCCTTTGCAATACCAACCAAAACAGGCTAGCAACCGCTATTGGGAAACTCCATGATTTGCTTCCAAGTCCCTTCTGTTAATTTTCTCTCTCACCTTCCTCCAGGCTCCAAGACTGGAAAAGCTTTGGGCCAGAAAATACACTCCTGGGAGTCATCACGAAAAGGACATTCATTCTTGAATAATTTGCACCTGAGGAATGGAGAGCTGGTTATCCAACAAACAGGGCTTTATTTCATCTATTCCCAAACATACTTTCGCTTTCAGGAACCTGAGAACATTTTGGAAACAGTTTCAAGAGAAGAGAACAGAAGGAAAAACAAACAAATGGTACAATATATTTACAAAGTCACAAGCTATCCTGACCCAATACTGCTGATGAAAAGTGCTAGAAATAGTTGTTGGTCTAAAGATTCAGAATATGGACTCTATTCTATCTATCAAGGTGGGATGTTTGAGCTTAAAGAAAATGACAAAATTTTTGTATCTGTAACTAATGAGGCAATGATTGACATGGACCAAGAAGCCAGTTTCTTCGGGGCCTTTTTAATTGGCTAAATGACCTGCAAAGAAAAATACAGTACCCTCAAGGTGACTTTTCAATTTCACTTCAGGGTGGTTTTCTGTGAAAACATCCCACCATATCTGGCAAAGTAAGGCAGCCTGGGCAAAGCAGCCACAATGACACTCTGCAACACACATTTTTTTTTTAATATCTCTGAAAAGTGATTCCAAAAAATGAAACTGCTAAAAGACCTTTCAGGGCTCTAGCCCTAAATTTGCTAACAGAAATCTAGAAGATTCTCACTTTTCAAATGCTTGTGTAGCAATTAATATCTTCTGTATCATCTCTTAAGAAGATTCCAGAAGAAAGAATAACAATCCATCTCTTAGGTAGTATATCACATTGGTAGCTTCCAGGTTGCCACAGGGACAACATTCCCCAAAGTGGAAAGAGAACGGGGCGCCACTAAAAGGTCATGATCTTGGGAAGCAATCCAATGTTGACATATGCAGTGTGCAGAGGAAGTTTGCATTGTGCAGGACTTTACAGGAGTTGCCTCATAGACCTGGAAATAACAAAATTCCACTTGAAATAGTATCATTTTGTTTAAAAAAAGTTATGTTTCATGAAAAAGGAACTATTTCTGAATGGCTTGTGCTACTAAAGGTCAAGCTGGCCAAAAGCACTAAAGATGTTTTTGATAAAGGACTCAATAACTAGTGATCTGTAATTCAGAAATCAGGGAATTTCATCTCAGGTGAAGAGGAGAAATAGGAAAGTGAAAATGACAAACACAGGTAAATCAGC